GATGAAGCAAATTAAGAAACAGTGGCATTTAGTATTACAACAAGAGATATTAATTTAAAGAAGGAAAAAAAGAAAATAGTTGAAACATTAGTGAGTTTCATTAAATGAAACTTGGCATTGTGAAGCGTTAGGTTCAAAATAACGGGATCGTAAATTGTAGAACGGCAAAAGCATATACTAAAGATATTATATTGACTTTGTTGAATTGGAGATCTTTTCTTTAATTTTTCGATAACGAATATATACGTGAAAGTATACAGATGAGTTTATAGCAAAATTATTTATCTCATTCTTTAACCAAAATTGAACCAAAATTTATTCAAGAATTAAATTAATGTTAACATAAAAATTAGGAAAAGATATTTTCTTGATTTTCTCTCTAATTCAAAATTTAATATAGATTTACAATGATTGTCGACAAATGTTGCTTGAAAATAACTAACGAATCTTGATCACGAATCTTGATCATTTATTCCAGAGCATTTATTCCAGATGCGATTTATCAATAAAGTTTGCAGATCTGTATTAAGAAAAAGCGAAAACACTTATTGATATTTACTTACAAAATTGTAAAATGCATTTTGCATGTGCGATGATACGATCCTAATTGCACTCACAATATTTGACGGTGCATATTCGACAGTGCGAAATCGTTAAATGCCAAATAAAGATGCAGAAATGGCAATAAGATCAAGAAAAAGATGGAAAATAAAAAAAGAACACGAAAAGACGTGTGAATCGTATAGTTAAATCGAGGTGACTGTCTTCTCGAGGATGGTTAACAAGGTACTAACCGGTGATCAGATCGACCAACTGGTCCCGCGAGGAAGAACAGCGCCTCCGGACTCCTTTGCTTCTTTTTTTCGTTAATACCGGTTGTCGTCTTTTGCATATTTTTACTGTTATTCATGACGTTTCAATGAGTTATCTCGTTATTTCGACTAACTGTTGATCTTATTATGAGAAGACTCCGTTTTGCAAAGATGCGCGGTAGAAAGACGTGATGTTAGAAGTTAATCTTTCTATAATTGTGTTATAGCATTTACGGTTTCTCGGATATCTTAGATTCGTTATACCGGAGAAAAGACAAGTTGAAATGGATAAGATTATTCTAATTAGGACATTATTTGATCGACATTTCCTTAGATTGATCTCCAGTCTTTGATTATTGACAGGATAACTTTGTATTAATCCGATTATCGTGAAGTTGGACTTTTTATATTTATGTACTCAAGTTCAATGACTTTTAGAGAATGATTTTGTAATTAAATTTTTTTTGCATAAAATCGCATAAAATTTTGCGATAATACAATTTTATGCAATTTCCGTTCTAATAAAATGAAAAAAGTTAATGTAAAATTTTACATTAACTTTTTTCATTTTTTCTTTTAGGTAACAATTTTTTGTACATAATATCACAATACTTACAAGTTTTTATAATTTGCTTTTAATAATAAATTTTTATAAATTACTTTTAATCTTTCTTACATTTATTTCTTAAATTACTGATCTATCATAGAATAATTTGATTTAATCAAATTTGAAAATTTATTCGTAATTCATGATACGTAATATATACGTATGACTGCTGTGTGCGCGCGCGTGTGTGTGCGTGTGTGCGTGTGTGTGTGTGTGTGTGTGTGTGTGTGTGTGTGTTATATAGGATACATCTACATCCTAAAATACTTTATTAATTAGTTATGATAAAAGTAGGTACAATAAAAGTTATAACAACGATATAAAAAACATTTTCTGCTACCACGGCAAAAAAAAGGTGATAAATTTAAAATTACATCAATGTCAAAATTTCATTGACACACATATAGGCGGACGACGCCCATTGAAATGAAAACTTAAGTAAAATTATTTCTTATAAACATATTATATTTTTATTAACTTCTTAATAACTTAAGGATCTACATTTATGTAATATTTATTTTATTTTAACTCATAGAACATACCGTTAATGTTAGTACGAAAAAATACCGAAAAGTATACACATATACTTTTTTAATTTAATTATATTTAATTTTTAAAATGTCTGTTTCAATTGAGGTAAACTTATTAAGGTTGAACTTTAAGTTTTAATTTTGAAAGAAAAATTTAATTTTGTTTTTGCTTGTTTTTTATTCCTTTAATTTATTCCTTGAAATTTATTTCTTAAACACAAATAATACTAGAAAAATGCCTATTATTAAATTGCTTGTCAATTTAATTCGCGATTACTAGTTTTAATTGCGTTTATAGTCCAAAAAAAACAATTTGGCGCGCAGTTCTAAAAAGACTACAATATGATATATATGCAAGTACATATATAGGGTATATTAGTAATTCAAGATTAAATTTTTTAAAGCAATGAAGATCCAGCTTCGATCGTAATAGGCATTTTTCTAGATTGTGTTTCTCACATATATGCGATCTAAGATAAAAATTCTTAATATTGCTTATTTCTTGAAGTTTGCCAGAATTCAATTTAATCAAGATAATAATATAAATAGATTCTGAACACATTTACTTTAATATTTATTTTATTAATTACATTTTTTTGTAGTGTGGTTAAATTGAAATACGTAAAAAGCATCTAAATAATTCTTGATTAATTATTTAGATTAGGAGAATCAGCTCCGATGACCTTGACTTTGACATATATATTATCAAAGTTATGACTCTGAGTGATCTCCAACAAGTTTTAACTGTCACTTGTTATTATTTGAAAAGTTTTTAATAATGAAGATGATAATTATCTCTTTGCTTTGCATAAAAAGTTAAATGATTTTAAGCAAGGTGAGGGGAGGTGGAGTGGACCTCGCGTAGAAAATCGTGCGTCCTAGGCAGAGAGAAGTAGAATAGACCATCCTTTGCATGGAAACGCCCTTAAGCCCGATCTACATAAGACGCAGAATGCGGATCGTAGATCGTAAAACTAGAAACTAACGTATTTTAATTGATATGATTATAGGACGCAAAACGCAGGACGCAGAAAGTTAGATGAATTTCAACTTTCGCGTCCTACGTATTGCGATCTGCGACCTATTACAATCTAAAATAAATTTCATTTGCAATCAGCGACCTGCGTTCTGCATCTTATATAGATAAGACTTTAGACCAAGAGTGAGGTGAAGTAGACTTCGCTTCGCGTAGAAAATCGTACGCCCTTAAGCATGGAAATGGGGTAAACTTCCCTTCGCGTGGAAAATTATACACCCTTAGACAGTGGAAAAGGTGTGAAAAATTATTACGTAAGCAGGGAAAGCTGTGAGCACGAAATAAAAAAAAGGAGAAACTCAAGCGGCCGGTCTCAAATGAATGAGTTCGAAATGCGGTATCGAAAAAGTGTATGGAAGAACAAATTCGAGCGCTCCTGTTGGAGAAAACTGTCAACTTAGAGGATTTGATAAATTTTTTTTTCCCATTTTCCTGTAATTCTGTAAATTTATATTTTCATGCGTAGAATATATTCTGAGAAGGAAAGTTGTCGTTCAAGTTCCGTTTTTCTTCTTTTTAATTTCAAAATTTTTTTATTTCGATAAGTTAAAAAACGATAATTTAATGATAATTTATGACTATACATAAATGTATGTATTTTTCAATAAATATTGCATGCATTTATTATTTAATAAAATAAAGTAAAATTTTATATAAATTGAAATTTCTGTATTAAAAATAAGACGTGTATACATGTGTATTCTGTACGCGTATCATAATATATATTTCCGATTTTTCCTGCAACAGCACTAAAATTATCCCGATTTTCCGTGGGTTTTTTGATATCGAGCTCATTTTTATCCTCGAGTTTGATCTCATGTTTTTTTACTCTGTGGGTGTGAGATAGTTCTGAATATTGTTTGGCAGAAATAATGTTACTTTTTCAATGTTCTTTTTATTTAATAACTTTTTGTGTATAATAAAATAAATAACGAGCGACGGCTAAAACCTGGAGATCAGAATTAATGACATTAAGATAATCTGAGCTGTCTCCCCTAATCTAAACATTTCTTAAATAAGTTGAAAAAATGAAACTTATTGTAGACTTACGTGCCTAGCTGGCTCCCCCACTTAACCAAATCTTAATGAAAAAATTATGTAATATTGAGCTATAATATTATGCACTATTCATATCCGCAAACAAAAATTTTGGGGTTCATTACGTTTAGCTAAAAAAAAAAAAAATTTTGTGGAGGGGGGCTGAGTAGGCAGTCAGTCAGCCCTTCCACTCGTTAAAAACAATCGATTTGGAAAACATAGGATTTATGTGCTATTTATGCGCTATTATTTCCAAGCATTTTAGATTTTTGCGTTGCAACTCATAAGGCATTTCCCTCTTGGAGCAAACATTAATATTTACAATTCATGAAAAATTGTCTTGGAGCGAATAGTCATATTCATTTGGAATTCATAGCGCATAAATAAAAAATAGACTTCGACTGGATAAGCATATATTTTTACAATTTTTCATGAATTATTAATGAAATATATTAAAAAAAATTTTGACTTAGGGATAAATATGATTCGCTCCAAGAAGGAAGTGCTTGAAGGGTTACAGCGCAAAAATAAAAAATGCTTGGAAATAGTAGTGCATAAATCAGAGAATTATTTTGCAGGTAGCGTACTTAATTTTGCAATTTTAAACGATTTAGGGGTAAATATAACTTCGCTCCAAGAGGGAAGCCTTTTGCAAAAATCGAAAATGCTTGGAAGTAGCGCATAAATAATGCATCCTGTATTTAATTTTCTAAATTGATTGTTTTTAACGGATGGGGAGGCTGATTGACTGCCTACTTAGCCCCCCCACAAAAATTTTCTTTTTTTAGCTAAACGGAATGAGCGCAAAAATTTTTGTTTGCGGATATGAATAGCGCATAAATAACGTATTATTACATAATTTTTTTATTAAGATTTGATTAAGTAGAAGGCAGACATTATAGACGTATCCTGTTGAGGAGATATATGTATCACGATGTCACATATACTTCTATAATTAATGTAAAGTTAATTACTAATTACTTCGTCAGTGTCTGGCCGCTTTCTCCTGCGCTTGCAAGTTCGCTATTGCTTTGCCTGTGCCATATAACACTTTTGCGCGAATCTGAACTCTCCTTGTGGTTGTACAGGTCACTCCAGATGTAGACGACGAACTTCCGATATTGCCACCAGCAGTCGTGCCTAACTGCAAAGTACCATTCGTATAATTCGCGCCTCTGCAACTCGTGCAACCCTCTGACATTGTGCTGCTGATATTTTGGCGCTATTGTCGAGTATTTTTCCTGAACAAAGAGTAATCTCGCAATAATTGTAAATGTAATGGGAAGCAATATTAATACGAATTTAAAAAATTATATCGTAGTTTTAGAAATTGATTACAATCACGGTTGTGAATATAACGCTCGGATGAATATAAGTCTTGTATTTTTATTATTTTAATTTAATGTTGAACTGTTATATAACTGTTATTTAATTCAAATCAATTTTAAATTATATCTTTAATACTTTTTATTTAATATTATAATATTATAATTCATGTTGATTTACGGTTAGAATATTATTAATATTTATTTTTATTATTTTTCTGATATTAACGGCTGTTCTAAATTCTATATTGTTTGCAATCGAATTCTTATAACGAATTTGTATAATATTTTAAATACGTTAATAATGAATATATTGTAACAAATTAAAACAATTATTAGAACCGGTTGTTCTATCTTTGAATCTTGAATAAATTGTGTGATAATTATATAATAAGTAAATAAAAGAATAAGAGTAAAGAAAGAAAGAGAATAAGAGAGTGATTGAAATTTCACGAAAAATGCAACATCTTCTTATTCGTGAAATTTATTAATCAGAGAGCAGGTTTTTATGTTGAAAAAAGTATTAGGCGTGTGCAAAAAAAAATGCAGAGGTCAAGAACTAAATAGCAGTACCAAAGAAAAGTATGAAGCATATTTGATGACTATAAGCGTTGTATCATATCGCAACATCGCTGGACATGACTGTCAATGCTAGTTTATGTATTAAGTGCCGCGTCATGAATGTGTATATGTATTCAAGCAATTTTCTTGGATAAAGATATATTTTCACGTCGTCTCAATTGCATCCACTATAAATTATAATTTACTGTCTTCTGTCTGACGGAATTTTTTTGTATATTCTGCCTTTTGGTAGGAAGAAGATGGAATGAAACTTCTTTTGCTGGAAAATTCATGCGCTCCTAGACAGGGAGAGGTAAGATAGAATAAATAATTAAAAAAATAGACTATATATTTTTTTATCTCCCTCGACTTATTATCATTATTTGAGTCATAACAAAGATTTTAAAGAATTATTATTAGCATTGCTGAATAATATCGGAATTCGGAAAAAACCTTATTCTGCATAATTGTTTAAATTTATACTAATATGTACTACTACTAAAAGTAAATTTTAACATTTTATATTTTTTCTCCTTAAAATGATTTCACTAGTGTACGAAGGTCGTTTGAAAAGTTTTAAGCCCCAACATGAAGCTGGCATTACTTGTCAAAATCATTATTACAATCGTACATGGTTTGCAAGATACTTATAAAAATTGTAGCCATTTTGGATGCTTAGTTATTTGAGAGTCATTTGTGCCAATCGATGTCAATGTTTTCATTTGATGAAAATCTGTGTTCTCAAGCCTAACATTGAGCCTAGGAAACAGAAAAAAGTTTAGGATCAGGTCTGACGATGGGTAGTTTTAATTCCAACTACAAGTCGTAAATTTTTGTTTGACGTTGATATTCGATTTTTTTCTATTTTTACAAATTATTAGCACAAATGACTGTCTAAAAATTCCACAATAATTTTCACAGGTATCTGCAAAACATATACGATTGTAGTATCAGAATAACTTTGACGAGTAATGCCATTTTCATGTTGAAGCTCAAAACTTTTCAAACTTTTCATGACCCTTGTACATTCAATCAACATATTACAAATTAATACAAATTAAGTTTTATTCATTTTTGTCCTTATATTACTTTTCTTATTTCCATAAGAAAATAGTACATATTAAGCTAGCAATGCCACTATATTTTCTTGGGAACACATAATATATATATATATATTTGTTTTTTTGTTTTTGATAGTACAAATTAACACAAATTCAATTCTATTGATTTTTGATACTTTCTTTTATTTTGAATTGGTCTTGCCGCACTGAGAGAAAAAAATGGTTTCATATAATTTAATTATAATTTACAGTCATTTTTGGGTCAACTATAAATTTATAATTGTTTTAAATTTGTCCATTATAGCTGTTTCAACATTGAAGTATAATCATTACTATGACATGTGTTTTTCTTACCATGTGAATTAGTTTTTCCTCTTATCATACCTCTAGTTATTATTACCATGTAAACAGTTAGCGAATGTTAAGAAAATAGTTATATTTACTATAATGTCTATTGCATTTATTACACAAAAATTATTATTTTTATTTACCATTCGTATATAATATTTTACTATACTAAGTTCGGATTCATAATTTATACAGTACAATTTTCCATATTTGAAAGAACTATAAATATAAGTTTATTGTTGTTAATTTAGCAATAATAATCATAATAATGGACCTTCTAATGATAATTTTTTAATCATGTAATTATAGTCACAAATACCAAATACTTTTCTCTCTGTGCGACTTAATGTTAAGCTAGCAATATCATAATTTTTTAAAAAATAACACACAGTAATACAAAATTATCATTAATAGTACAATTTAGTACAAAATAAGTACTAAAAATTTCGATGGTCTGATGGTTCTGCTAACTTTATAAAGCTTACACCTTGTTATTATAGCGCCATGATGATTATATATTAGTTTGACTTTTCAGAGATTCTTTATAATTAAACTTTTGAATAATTTTGAAATAATTAATTGCAAATTTGTTTAACTATGACGTTATTAATCATAAATGATAGGTATTAATTATATCGAGTAGCATTATGCAACTGAATGCTGTAATTTCTTTGCACAGTCGGAGGCATCTCGGCCGTCTATTATAATGTGCAATTCTGATCTGTGTGCCGTTCAATAAGGGAAAATCTGAGTTAATTATACTAATTGCAATATATAACGAGTTTTTTCACTTGTGACCTTACCAGAAAAACGCAAAGCTCCGTAACTTTTTGTTTGATTTGTTTGTGAACAGTAAATTTTGTGAAGAAACATAGCTCGATTCAAAACAGATACAAATACGAAAATGAAATTAATAAAATTATGTTTCCTACAGATAATAGAGTATGCTTCTGGAGATACGATTTTCTTTTATTGCAGACCTGTTTTCAAACTGGATAAAAAAATTAGTTAATTTTTATTAAAGCTTTTGAAGATTTAGTAAAAGTAGATGTTTTTCAAAAGATTATTTTAACATTTCATATAAATTAAGAACATATTTAACTTTGTTTTATGTATGTACTTCAATTGTATTCTAAATTGATATATCACAAATCAAAATGCAAATTACGCTCTCACTAATCTCTCTCATCAATTATTGTAAACTTACTCGTATCGATTGGATTCTTTTAAGATGAATCGAGCGACTTCAGACTTTGTCATACACTGTCCCGAACTATGTCATGAACATTCTCTCTGATCTAATTTGCTTTCCAGCAGCAGATTTACAAAGTTCGACCAATCCTTTTAAGATGGTCACCAATTCGAAAAAACGTGCAATTTTTTATGGGATTCCCCGACGTCTTGTTTTACTCAATCAGAGAATAGAGATGCGCGTTCAAAATTGACAAAGAACGTTATATGCTCACGTCCACGGTGTGAAGGCGCCGAAGGAACTGATCGACCGTGTTCCAAATAGCCGCTTGGTAGGCTTCACCGAACACTCGTCTCTTTTCTTCTTCTTCCTGTGCGTTGTGTCGGCTGTTTGTCGGTATCCTCATCGTTAGAGTTATCTTCTCCATTATCGTTGTCCACCTTCTCATCTAGAGGGAAGATAATAGGGATCCAGATGATCAAAATTCGGGTAATTAGTAAATTTTGCAATTATTGAAGTCACGAGCATCATTCATAAATTGTAATATCAAATGAATTAGAATTAAATTAGAAAGTAAACGAAAATAAATCGATTTATCCGATTCTTAGATCTTAAAAAATGTTACACATAAATTCACAGAAAGAAAGAAAACTTTGATTCATTTGATTTGCCATTTGATATCGATTTAATTACCATTTGATATCGAAAATTATAAAATTTTTTAATAGCAATAGAATTAGAATCTCTATTGATCGCATATATTTACAAATCTGCTTAACGAAAAATTTACGTATTTCATTCTCAGCTATTCGGTCTTGATTCCTTAGCGCGGCTATGACTCACGATCGTGAAGTCCGCGTCACAAAGAGGGAGAACGAAAGAGGACGAGAGAGTCAGTGGACGTAAAGAGAAAGATCGAAGAGGAGAAGTATGCATTGCGTAGCGTGCATACGGTGGAAGCCCAACTCGTCTCGATACATAATAACCTTTGATTGATAAAAATTTGACCAGCATAATTCTTTCGCAACACGGTGCATATATGCGGCTGAGAGATCCGTGTAAAGCACTGCCCGATACTAGACGGGCAGTGCGGTTCTATAGAAAGAAGGGGCATGGTCACCGCCGAATGCGTTTCTGGGTCTCTCTGCGGTCCTTGCGGCCACGTGACGCCGAAGAGTGCAGCTCACGGTAGAAATGTAGGATATCGCCGGATCTAGAGAACGCGATGAGTAAATAATTTCTTATTTATTTATGGATGTGTCTCATCTAAGAACGGATATTTTTAGAAGAAGAAAAGAGAAAAAAAAGAAGAAAAAAATAGGAGAAAAAGAAAAAAAGAAGAGAATCAAAAGAAAAACTTCTAGATTCTATCTTCTAGATTCTTTTTTTATTCTTCTCTTCCTTACAAGATTTATTTCTGCGTGTAGGACGATTCCTCGCAATGTCGTCACTGCACGATGACGGCACATGTAAAAATAATGTCCGCACTGTAAATTGCTATGCTCACGTCATGTTATACATTTAATATTTAGAATATGCCAAAGATTCTCTTGAAGACATACAAATACCTTTTCAGAATATTAATCACATTCTTCAACTTTGATATCTCTAATAAGCAATCGAATGAGCACGACATCTTTGAAATTGGTTTTTGCAGGAGTTTGAGTATATAAAACTGTTTAATTTTAAATGCTTCTATTATATCTACAAATATTATTATCTACAAAATAGAATACAATTGCTAAGTGTAGAGGAGCTCAAGATGAGCGAAATTATTTCTTACCTTTTTGCTTTAAATAAAGAAATGATTACTTATAAAACGTACGATCTATGTTTCTTTATTTATAACTACTTTTGTACTTTATATTTCGCAGTGTTCGCAAAGCTGAGTATAACGCCGACTATTGTATCAGTAAACTGCTCTTATAGCCGTCGGCTGTACGCGGAACAAGTTGACGTAATAATTTGATTGATACTCGCGTGATTTGTTGCATATTCAGCTGCATGCTGTTATCCAACTCGTTACAATCAAAATTGCCATTAATAAAATTACAAATCTGTGTTTTGCAAATTTGTGTACAGCATTGCAGAATACGTCGTATTCAATCCTGATCGCATTGTGATAAACATGTATCATTCTGCGATTCCACACAAAAGAATTGAAAAATTAAAGAAAAAGAGAAATTTGGAATAAGTAAACTTGTTAATTTTGGTCATTTGACAGATCAATTTAATAATTGAATTTATTAATTGCATTAGTTACACTTATATTTCGAATTATTTATTATTGCTTGATATCAACACAGTAATTAAATTGATTATTAATCTCAATTTAATCATATGAGAAGTAGAAGTAGAAATTCTGCGGTCCTTTGCTAAAGCTAATGTTTTTGGGGGAGTAAATTACTTTAATTTAATAGTTATAACTATTAAATTATGTATTTATATCAGAATTGATAAAAAACATGTTTTAAACGTGTTTTAAAGTCTAAAACATGTTTAATTGATGTTTTTAATATGTTTTAAATATATATTTTTTATAGTACTGTTTAAAGCATATTTGAAGCATTAAAAATATATTTAAGAAAAAACACAACACGTTTTATTCTTAAGAAAAAAACATTAGTCTTTACCCTGATTTATATGTATATATATATATATATGTATGTATTCATATGTGTGTATTTATATTTAATAATTACAATTAATAAAATAATATTAATAATGTCGCATTTGTGGCAATAATTATATTTTAAAATTTTAATAGTTCTTAAAATTCTCGTTCTCACAACTATAAAATTATTATAGCAAATTTTTGAAATTTCAGAGATATCACATTATCGTTTGTAAAACTATTTTGCTTTTTTTGAATGTACACTCTTCGACCAGGGAATCTTGAACGTAGAATGCGCGTTATATTGATCATTATCTACTTCTTGAGGTAAAAAAAAGATAATAAAAAAATACCGTTATTAGTGGTGCGAAGCATTTTTCTTTCGTGACGCCGTGCAATTAAATACCGAAGCGAGCTAACTCTGCGCTGACCGTGTAACATCGCTATCAACTAGTAGGTCAGTCAACAACGAGGTCAGCCGAAGGCGAATCCGGACTACGGGTCAGCCAATCACGTACAGTGATTGTTTGACAATGAGTATTAACTGTATACGTATAGCATACACCCGCAACACAGTTAAATTCATGCCGCACTTACGCAGTGGCGTAACGCCAGCTTTGGCCGATTAAAAGTAAGGTAGATGTATCAGTTAGCAGACAATTAGACATGATCCAATTCGTTGGACAAAGTAATATAAAATGTTAAATATTAAACTTTTAATATGTAACTTTTGATATGTACGACTCTAAATAAAATTTGTTTATAAAAAATTTAATAACGAATTTATTTAAAGTCATATATATCATTAAAAACTTAATATTTGGAATGTTTTATTACTTTGTCCAACAACAGTTTATATTCACTAATTGGTACATTAGCTTAAGCCTAAAAGAGAATTCTTTAGAGCTCGATTTGATAAAATTTTGTTTTTTTTGGTGCAAATTCTTTTTCTAAGCGTTTCTTTTTAAATGTTTCGCACCTAGTCTCTAGTAACGCGTCATCTACAATAGAGAAATAAGTTAAACTGTAGGAAATTGGCAAATCAGTCGATCATTCTTCTCACATACGATGATGATTTATCAGTTTTTTACGACTTAAAGCTCGATTTATTATAGATACATAAATAAACAAGGCCAAATTTCTCGCCGGTATGACAGCTCTGCTGATGCAATTAGTGGCGGCTAAATAAATTATTAACAATTATTGTCCTTAACAATTATTGTTCTTAACTGTTATACATAAAAAACAACTGGTCAATGATTTAAATTACTACGACTTTCTCTCGTTCCTTCTCGATTCTTCTATAATTTTCATCCCACAGATTCGTCTTATGTTTAAACTAACATCATTTATAAAAATGTACAAATACAGGAAACTCATTTGTGGTGAATTTGCTAAGAGAGCAAAATATAGAATCATGCCTAGAGTGGGGGATAAATAAGGAGTAAATGGTGTGATTTTCGCAGCAAAACAAGAAACAAGACGGAAGTAGGTCAGCAGGACTATCGGTCATGATGGTCCGGGTTCTTGTCTCATTCACGTATTTGATTCGCCGGAGGTAATAATGTTGAAATTAGATAGCATCCATCAAATACAGATTGTTCTAAAAGAGATAAGACTCGGCATTATGGCGGTTGTATATAAAAAAATTCAGTATATCCTTATATTTATTTATAAAAAGAATTAGTTTGTTAAATAATTGTCCACATATACACGAAAAGAAACAGCACCTATAAGAAATTGATTTTCGATGAAATTAGTTTTTTTCATGTTGTAACTTATGATAGGCTATATAAAATATGTAAGACTTAAAATAAAAAAGTGAACAATTTTCGATCGTATTTATATGTGGGATATAATTATACGTGACATCATGTCACTATGTGTGCAGGAGTATAAAAAATTCCAAGAAGGCAAAATATCTTGAATACTGTAAGTTTTATAAAAAAGAAATATGTTATAGATAAAAATTGTTAAATATTTGGAAGGGTTAGTCATTAGATTTTTCAGTTTGACTTTAGATAGGGTTAATGAATCAAAATCCGGATATTGAACTAAAAAATGTACAATTTTGAATACAAGAAAAAAAAATTAAGATTCCTTCAATTCAAAATACAATAAATAGACAAAATCAAGACAATAGAAATCTGCGCTGTAATTCGTGTGCTAACATTGATACAAATATATAAATATAAAAGAAACTGCATTAATTTGAATACGGACACGGAATTGTTTAACCAAGTATACCACTATGACTTGAATTCGTAATATGGTTTATGTATATGACATTATATGTGCCGGATTCGGTCATATATGTTAAGATTTTTATCATTAGTTCATACGTAATTGTATGACTCAGAGCATCTGGTCCTATTGTTTATAATAACCTCATTATGTTACATTGGAGGATTTTTATAATTCATTTAGATGTATTTTTTAAATGACCTCATCCATTGACATTACTCAGGTTAGTTGTTGCAATTTTGTTTCATCCCGAATAGTTTTAACGCGTTTTATTTAAAAATTTAAATAATTACTTTAGACCATCCAGTTCGCGAATTGGTTTGAGATAAGCCCTCCTTCCGCCTGATAATTGCGAGAGGAAGTTAGCAGGCTTCACATTATGCCATCATCTATGACTAGAATAGTTCTTTACAACGTTGAAAAAGGTTAGAAGTTAGCCGAAACGTATGTTCTCCGTTTTATTTGTCTCGTTCTTTTAATAGATGGCAATATATTATTAATTTTATTATTTGACTTAACATCTTTTATATTTATATATTTATACATATTAATTATAATAATTATAATAATATTAGTGCACAAACACGAGTGGAAATCTGTCCTGGCGCTTCGAGCTTCTATATAGAACCCTATCGGAGTTCAAATCAGTGGCGCACCCTTGCAAAATTAGACAGAGGTTGCCTAGTATTTAAAAACAAACAAAATTCCATTTATTAGAACGATTTTTTTTTATTTTAGTATTCGAAATCAGCTTTTTAATATAAGCAACGATAATGGAAAATCCATCGAATTGATGGGGTGGATTTTAATTCACGCAATAAATTACTTGGTTTGTGGAATCTGACCTGTTCACTTTGTCTATGAGATTAAATATAAACTTTTATTGCATTTTGAGATTAGTTGTAAATAACCTCCAGTTGCAATATATGCTGGTAATTTCAAACTTAAAAATCTTATAGACTTCTTACATCAATTTGATGTAATGATTTTTTAGAACAAACAAAATAAAACAAACAGAACGAAACAGAATAAATAAATTGCGGAGGATTGCGTAATACGTGACAAACACTTCCAGATAATGTGATTGAAGTTTGGAGCAATCCTGGAGCAAAAATTAAAAGTAAGAACACTGATAACAGACAATTGAAGATCACTCATATAAACGTGTGTCCAAAAATTTCCAATATATGTTTTTCAAACTTTTCAAACAAAGATCGCGGCTCCCGCGTCCTGTAGGAAAATATAAAAGTACGAAAACAATGTCTGATATCTGACGACAGAAAAAAAAATAATTCGTTGAAATAACGGAACTCTCTGAATAATGATGAAA